TTCAATGGACAAGGTTTAGCGAGAAAAATAATATAATCAATTGATATATAAACTTGCATCTGAGAGAGATGGCAGTAGCACTCAAATTATGACAGAGGCTTGCCCCGCAGAAGCACCTTTTCCATCCTTTGTCCGTTTGCGCGGGCCGTGCATATGCAAACCGCGGACGAATCGCAATAGAGTGAGGCTGACAGGGCAGAAGCTGGCACTGCGGGATAGGTATCAAAGCACGTATTCAGCTGCGACAGGATGCAACAAGCAACTTGTCAGGACTCAAAAGCAACATGGAGTTGGTTTTGTACCGTGAGGCGCATGAACATGGGACATTCCGCACATGATCAGCAAACACTTGTTGACATCGACAAAAGGCGCGGAAGGAACGGCCTTTTCACCCACTTCCAAAATCCTGAAGCCCCTCGAACACCTCATCTAAACCCAGCCTCAAGCAATCCCAAGTCAATCCGAAACCCACCCAATACAAAACTTAAACTAACGCTATCCCAAACCCACCCTAAACCTCAATCTTCTTCAACGCACCCCAAATCCATCCCTAAACGTTAGTGCATCTTGAAGTCTAGCCTGTTGCAGGCGAGCTGTTTCTGTAAACATCGCCTGAACCCACTTTAAGCATACCCCAACCGGGCATCTACCCCTTCCATCCCAAACATTGCCCAAATGCGCCCTACCCAAACCCACCCTCGATCCAGCCGAAACCCGCCCCAAATCTACGGCCGGATGTGAATTAGACCCCCGCCCAGTTGAATGGCTGCTTCGGAACCATTAAAGCAGTATGTCTGCGGTCAAACCACAACTTCCCGAATACAACTTATAAGACACGATACTCAACATGTCATGTGTCCCCCATGCCCCTTGTTCTTGGGAGCCCCAGTGTATGCATTTTGGTTCAGCGCTATGCAGAAAGTACCATCCTTTGCAGCATGTTGACCTGAGAACAAAACCCGACACCCTAAAGTCGGTTGTGCATGATGACCCTAAACTAAAACCGCAAGTGGGTAGACCATGTTGACCCTAAACTCAGTTGGTCCTAAACAAAACCTTGACAGTCCGTTGCAGTTGACCCTAAACCTGAACTGCGGCTCTCTGGGTTTGCGAAACTCTGGTCAGCCTCTGACCAGCTTGCCCACGCAAGGAAGGGCCCCCAAGCTAGCCATGCCAGAGAAACCACTTCCTTGCTCACCCCAAACCCATCCAAATCCAACTGAGCCTGCCCGGAGTGCGCGGAATTCTGTCCTGAGCCCACCTTACAACGGTAGTATTAAAAGTCCATCCTGTAGAAATAATAATGCTCCAACGATTTAGATTGAACGGCAGGGTCTCCACAAATGAATCTAATTGAAGAATTAGCATCAGTATTTCTCATATCAAAAGATGGAAAAGCACGAGCATATCTATATAATTCACAATTGTTTGTATCAATTGTTAATTTACCATCAGTAGCAATATCAACATTATCACAATTCTCATCAGCATTTGTATAAATATTACCTGACACATCAACAGGTTTATTGAAAATTGTTTTATTCACTACTCCATCACACCTAAAATATTGATTAGAGGCATTACTAACATCACCAACACTCACAGCAACAAAATTATTAATTGTATTACATCGCATCCTGAATCTCGCGAGCCTCGCCTAACGCCACGCTTAAAGAGAAGTTTGGTTTGAATGTGTTTAGTGATTTGGTGACCTCACTTGCCCAGTTCTAAGGTTTGTGTGTTTTTTACAACTCGACACTGACCCAGACGTGCTTGTTTAATGCCTAAACGTGCTTGCAGGCTAAGAACGAAGCATAAGAGTCAGGAACCCTCAAACAGGTGTGTGCTGCCACTCTCCTTTTCAACGCCCTTGAAGGGTGTCCCCTTGAGACTATGCCTATGCCGGCCTTTTCAAAAAGAAACATTTTCAAACAGTGGAGCAGGCCTGAAGGGCAGGTGAAACTCAGGCAGTGAGCTGCAAGAAAAAATGCTCATCCCGCTTCAACCATGATTGTCATGGCAGTTTTGGGACAATTCCCTATTGCAAAGTGGAATGGTTCACCAAGTGCACGGCACAAGAGTTGAAGTGCCCATGTTGACATTCGAATCCAACATGTTTGTACTTGGAGAACAATGAAAAACACCTGCTGAGACGTTCTTCGACTGGAGCAGGAGCATCTCTTGCAGCAATGCCAAACAATATGTGAATAATATGTTACAGCATTGACGTGATGCAGGCTGTCAGTTCTGCCTGGCTAGCCTTTCTGTCTCCTCTGATAAAGGTGCGGCTCAAACGGGTATGGATCTGAGTGCAATCTAGTTTGCGGATCGTGATCTTACTTCCAGACAGATTCATGGGGCTATGCCCCGTATTCGGAGAGCCAGATACCGATCTCAAAAGGACAAACTCAGCGAGCCCGTGGTTTGTTTGTGTCGGGTCTTCAGTAGAAAAGGGCGTGACAGCTATCATAAGAAAGTTAAGTTAAGATGTAGTTGGCTGGTTTACATGTCGTACACAAAGTCAACAGGTTCAGTGAGTGTATGGACAACTCCAGTGCACCAGTCTCATTCCCGGAGCTACAATGCTCGGTGCCAGGAACAAACAACGTGACATGCTTGTTCCGGACACGATGATTATAGATGCATCCAGACCCGAATTTGTAGCGTTGGCCAAATGAGAGTTGGAAGGCTCTACAGCTACAAGCACAAACGCAGAATTGCGTGCAAAGGTCGGCAAGTTGTTTAACCTTTCCGACGGCGGCATGGTCTACAAGGGCAGTTTGCTGCCATTGCATGTCTGAGCACCTTTTGGACGCTTGAAGCTAGAGAGATTGGATTGGCAAACTGACAATGTAGATGTTGCCAACGCAGCCCGCGGACCTCGCCTGCCTGTCCAGTTTTGCCTGTCCAATACATTCAGGTGACCGAAGCACGAGGCTTGAACTTTGCAATGGCAAAGCCAGAGGCCTCCAAGCGCGCCTGAGTCATTGAAATGGGGAACCTACCTCGTGATGGATTCAATGCAGCAAGCAGTTGAAAAGAAGCCGCCCATGGTGAATGCGCCTACCAGGAGGAGGAGTGGTAACAATACAAGGATCAGCACTTGCGCTTAAGCTTAGCGCTCAGAGCAGCTGTCCCTCGCCCATGTGGCATGCTTGGGGTTCTTTCAGGTCGCCGCGTCATACCAATGGATGCAGATGCACAATATCATCTCTTCCCCGGGCGGCTTCAGGGGATTTGCCTCTTGATGTGCTTTCCACAAACAGTCAGGGTAGAGTCAGCGTGTGTCCATCCTGTCACTCAAAACAGCCGCACACTAGAGTGCGTGTGTTTTCACAGGGCCTAGTCGAGCAGTTTCCTCGCTTGGCACACAAAGACGGGCTCGTTGATTGATTGTGGAATATTCGAGAGGCGGTGGCAGCAGCGGACTTCAAAACAAAAACGTATCGTTGCCCACAATGACCCAGGCCTCCTTGTACAGCCATTGTTTAGAATGAACAAGCTGCGGAGCCGCAACTTCCACCCATCATGAAGGCTCTGTGCACGTGCGCGTCCCTGAGTGCATCTTCCTGGAATATTAGAATCCACATTGAACGATTCAAGAGGAGGCAGAGTCCCTACCAAACAGGGTCAATAGCCAAAACACACACTGCAACATGACAATTGGATACAATTGGTGGGTTGAAGAAGCATCCATCAGAGATTGCAAGCCTCAACACCCATCATTTTGTAGCGCTCATTTAAATTTGGTGAGTTTTCAAAGTGAGCCTGTAAACACACCCGTGCTGTGGAGTTGTTTTTTTCATGGGGCGTCGGCCATTTTTATTGTCATGTTTTTCGTTCTCTTACCTATACTACAACATAGCCGTTCCAACATCACCCCTGAAATCTAGACGGGGAAGACCAATGGTCATTGAATTTAAGTCAACACTTGCAAGCCTAGTCGTGTGACGGCAGAAGCGAGCTGAATGAGCGTCTTGGAGAGTTCCTGCAGCCTATGTTGACCTGCATGCCCATATGACACCGTTGCGTGATCATTGATTTCTTGCACCGTTGCATGAGTTGCATGATCTCGCCTGACCAAGGCCCTCTTTGGGGGGCAACGAAAGGCCCTTAGGCCACAGAGCACTTAAGATCCATCAAACAGTGCAGCATGCGAGATGCAATGCTACAGCCTTTGTTGCCAGCTTTTCCTTTGTCGACACATGTGTGGCAAATGCAAATACCTAACTGTATCCAATCATGCAAATGCAAACAGAGAACAGATCCTAAATTGACTTGGCGAGCCGCAGAGGGACGCTGATGCGCAGCCAAAGTTGCTGACAGCGCAGCGTGCAGCGATCTCAGGCAAGGGCGGGATGGCCAGCAAGGGGTGTCTCCCGGAGGCTTGATGGAGTAGCCAAGCAACGAGTGGGTCAATCAGTCTATCAGATTGCAGTTGGCAGGCCCAGGTTTGGTCACTGGCCGAAAATGATTTGGTCACCCAGTTGTTGCACCTTCCGTGTTTCTGTTCCCGTTTGTTTCAGCTTGATGAAAATCAGAATCACATTTGCAAACCATGCCAAGAAAAGGGTGGTATTTGGGATGGGGTGTGCAAGGAAAAGTTTTTATTCGTGCTGGGTCCGAGGCTATTTGTGGTTCAAAACTAAATTTCCTGAGTGCAGCCATGAATCCAAGAGTACGGAGCACCCGTGGATGATTTTGGTTTAACGGTTTGACCCTTTACAAGATTTAGTTATTCACAAGGGCTCGACCGGCAGACAACTGACTCTAGCCATCCCCGGACAATTCCAACATTCATTGCACGAATTCCTACGCGCGAATCAGCACAAATGCAGGTTGTCTCAAAAATGGGTTACCCTCCGAACAGAGCTTCCTTTTGTCTTGCATCTAAATACTAAAGCCTCCAAACAAAGGTGCTCCCTCCTAGCAGTTTCTTGCCTGCACGCAACGAGTTACTTAAAGGAGCATTTCGACTCATGAAGTTCCAGGCGGGCTAGATGGATGCGTTGTGCTCCGATCCTGGCACTGCCATGGGCGCTGGCACTTCCTGGGGCGCCTTGGAGGCTTGCCTGTGTGGCCGCCTGCCAAGGAGTTTTCAAGAAAAGAAGCAAAAGAGCAATGGGACATAAACGCGGCTGCCCTCCCACTCAAACACATGCTGGCCAAAGAACAAGTCAGCCGCCTCAGTTTTGGTGAGCACGCATTCGGGGGAACGGTTCTTTGCACATTTTGTTGGATGGACAACTGAGATTCCATACAAGATTGTATTAGAACCTTGAGTTGGCCTGGCTCAGTCAAAAAGAGACCTGAAACCTGGACATCATGTTCCTTGTGTCGGCTCAAGCCAGTAGTGTTGAACATTCATGTTAGCATCTTCCGGCTCAATCGAGGTGCCTCGTGGCCCCTTTGTGCATGTGCCTACATTTCTAGTGCAAAGGCCATGCCAGACAAGCACAACATACGTGTGCCGGCTCAGTAAAACATGGGGCAAGCAGCAACGGCTAGATGAGAAGTTCCCGCGCAAATGGGCCAGAGTCATCCAAGCTTCTTTGGAATATAATTGGAAGGGAAAGCGGTGCTCGCTAGGCCAGGCATGAAGAGCTGCTCAAGCATGCTGGGTTCTCTTGTCCTGGTACAAACAAAAGGCTACAAGGGCTTCAATAGTCAGGCATGGCTCTATGCAACCACTTCGTTCGTTGCTATCTTCAAGAGTGCTTAAGCAACCAGGCTGCTTTGGCACAAACTCCAAAAGCACGGGAACTTGCCACGGATAGTTGAATTTATTAGCCAGATATTTGGGAAGGGGCAATTGATGGAAAGAGAAGAGGTTTGGCCAAACGATCGGTTTTCATGATTGTTGTTGGGTATGTTGAGGTCAACAACATGCTGCTATGCAGACATGATGTTTGATGGCCTCATGTTCGATTCGGTCATTGCAAATCTGTGTCTGCTGGCTTGGGGCGAAACATGCCCAGAATGTCCTTGTAACATTGCGTATGCTGCAGTGTTGAATCAAATTGCCCAGGTCAGAGTGGGAAACTCATCCGCTGACATCCATGGCTTTCACGCGGTCCGACAAAGCTGGGGCAGTCAGTGTGACTGGTTGCTGAGCCGCAGCTTAGTGTGTCATACGATGTCACAAGCAACCGTCAGAGGCCTTTGTAAAGATTCAAGGTGTGATCTGATCACGAGACGACCAGTCACCAAGCGACTTTCATCAACACCGCAAGGTTTAGGGCACGCACCTAATAATAATGAATGAATGGATGGGCACAAAAGTGAATCACATAAATCGATAGGCAAATGAACACACAAATAAAGAGACAAGCAACCACATGCATGTATACACAGATAAACTGATCAAAAGCGAGAACTTGTACAAACGAGCAACATACATATCATCAACAGCTGACACAGGGCAATGCGATTACAAAGATAGATGGCTGTGGGTCAAAACTAAACAGGAGGGGTTACGCAGGTGTTGGTCCATGTTTCCACTTACCACAGTTCCATTTTGGTACCGTTTTTTTGAGCCACAGCCAGATGAATACGGTTGCGACATATACATTACATATATATGTACCAGTCCCTGGGCCACGTACCCCCCCCCCCCCCAATAGTATGGTCCCCCCATTCCCCCGCATCATCCGCATCTTGGGGATGATGCTGGCAATGCTGGGGATGCTGTCCAGTACCGTGCGAGCCCTGCAGCTTCGGTCCCAGACCCCCTTTCACCCATTGAACCAAGACCCCCGCACCTCTCGCAACATCCTACCCTAAACCAAACCACCCTGCAACCCCTCCTTAACCCCAACCCTAAGCCTAAATCAACCCAAAACCCAAACCCACCCGAAACCCACCGCAAACCAACCCTGAACCAACCCTGAACCAACCCTAAACCAACCCACCAAGCCTAAACCAACTCCGAACCACACCCAACCACCCAACCACCCAACCACCCAACCACCCAACCACCCAACCACCCAACCACCCAACCACCCCACCACCCCACCACCCCACCACCACCACCACCCACCACCCAACCACCCCCACAGGGGGGGGGGGTTGGCCCAACCACCACCACCCAACCACCCCACAACCCCACCCCACCACCCACCCACCCCACCCCCACAGGGGGGGGGGGGGGGGTTGGGGGGGGAACATATATATATATATAATGTGTACATATGTGTATTCCTACATCATATACGCGATATACATGTATGTAAAGGCATGGTAAGACGCACATATGCACATGAGGTTCCTGCAAACTCCCTTTTATTTCAATTTTGCAAAAAAAAAGCTTTCCAATCTCTACACCCTTGATGTTCATCGTTTTTTTGATTGGGCGCGCAAGAAGGCGGCAGGGCGAGCGCAAGGTTTTATGGAGCTTGACCTTCCTTGGGCCAAGTGCCTTCTGTCTAGTTCAAGTTCCAGAACAAGACTTGAACGCAAGCATTGGCTTGGCAGGCTGGCGCAAGTACTTGACAAACATTGCTGCCCTTTGGTGGGACTTGTTTGTTTTGTTGTGCTGGTTGCGACTTTCCGGTTGGAGCTGCCAAAGCGTACTTCCTATACTACACGTGTATTGAAAGGAGCTGCGACTTGCCAAAGCGTATTTCGTCGTATTCGTACTGAGAAGGTGTGACTTGTGAGCCGGAGCTTTCAAAGTGCACCTCGCGTACTACACCTGCACTGAACAGGTGCGACCCGTGCTGCACTTGCACTGAAAGGTGCTCAAAAGAAGCCTGCGCCTATTTGACCCGACCGTCAAGCTTGCAAGGCGAACCCAAAGAAAAATGCAAGTTTTGAACAGCGCGGGCATACAAGAAGGTTCAAGGCCGAGCACACGGGGTGAAAGTACGGAGCGGGTACTTAGTTTTGGAACAGATCCCACACACATTATGTGTTACTATGTACACATGTACGTAAATGTGTGTGTATACTCGCGAACCTGCTCGATAGACCCCCTCTGCAGTGAAATCGCCTTTGAAGCTCCAGTTAGTTGGCAGTGCCTTCGCAAATCTGAGCGGCATGGACGAAAACCTAAGTGAATCCAAGATCAAGGTTTGAACCCCCTCAGAGCTCCAGAGGCTAAGAAGCAAGATTGGTCAGGACTCTTCCCATCAACACAATGCAAAAATGACAGGGCTTACCAAGAGCCACGCACCCAGGTTGTTCAGGACTCTCTCTGCAGAATTTCTTGATTCTTGGTCCCCCTTTGAAGCCTGTTGATTGCGGGGTCAAGACGTCTTGATGTTTGCCCATGCAGCGCAGGGCTCGACGCATCTCAAAACACGGATGTTGTCATGTCCATGGTTTTGGGAGTGTAACGCGCCACCCAGTGTTCTTGTTTGAGACTTGGCGGGGGAGGGAATTCGAGGGACAGCATAATCATATTTTTTAGGTAATATGTGCATGGATTCATTCATGTTGTGTGCGTTGTTATGTTGGTTTGTTTCGTTTTGAAAAACATAAGAAATATGTATGTATATATATATACATCGCCTGGTAGCCGGCTTTAAGCAAGGGTCAAAGTAACGGGGCCGCTTATGTCGCTAGCAGGTTCAGGCAAATAAACGAAAAAACCATTGCCACAAGTTGACCGGTCCCAGAAATGTTTGACGCATTGCCAAGCCATCTATAGAGGCAGTTAATATCTCTTGAGCCTGGGGTGTCGTGCCTTGCCAAGGCTGGTTGCAGTCATTGGTTTTGAAGCGCGTGAGCCTTGGATAATGAGACGTTGCGGGTGAACGCATCAGTGGTGTCAGACGGTTGTCAGGTCAGGCGTTGGGCTTGCACTGAAACAGACTTTTTGAAATGCTCAAAAGACCCAATTCATTGTTGGCTATAAGGCTGTTTAGAGAAGCACGCAGAACGCCCTTAAAGGGGTAGCTGGCACAGGCGTCGCAAATGTTGCAGAATTGCATAGGTTTGGCAGCCCCATTTGGCAGAGAAATTAAAACAGCGCAATGCCATCAAAACAAAACAGTGCGTGGTAGACTGGACATGTGGACTGAAGCTCAGCACGCTTGTGTAGTGGCCTAGGTGAATTGGTGTTGACTATCGCGGTCCAGTCGACGAACTACACGCCCCCCGTCAATTTCTGTTCCTTCAACAATCACGGACATTTCACGCAGGGTTCCCCATAGAAGTCGTCCGACACCTTCATGTCAGATGCATTTCCAAGCTCAGTCTATTCTGAACTGGAGTTGCGTTGCCCCACTTGAAAGGAACCAACCATTCTTCATCTACCGAGGCGATTCACAGCGGTGCAGAATAAAAACAGGCCAGCAACCAAACGCTGCTGTGTTTCAAGAACAGCCTGGTGAGCTTGAGGCCAACAGGCTTTAGAGGGGCAGCCCTACACAACGTAAAAACTTGCGCGCCGGCACCTTCAGGGGCCCATGTCGTAATCTGGTGGCACTAGACGCGACTCAAAAGGGGCCCATTCAACATGCAACATGTTTCAATAGGAGTTCTGACTCCAGCCCCCCTAGGAGGAGCTGCGCTCCGCTGCCGAGGGGGTCGGCTCTTTCCAGGCGCAGAGCGGGGCTGGCAGAAAAAGCAGCCCGCAAGAGACGCAAGCAAGACGCAGCCCGAAACCCAGGTTTGCCATTTTTGAAAGAGGTCTATGCTCCTGCGTTATTTGAGGATGGTGTAAGTTTGTTGACCACATGCGGCTTTGAGGCTGCTCGGTTAGCTTTCAGGAAGTAAGCCAGTAGCAAGCAAAGCAAAGGAAGCAGGCAATGGGTGACAAAGGAAAGAATGATGATTTGGCGCTGCCAAGCCGCTGACCGTTAAAAACAGAGCCAGAAGAAACCAACTAGCAAGCAAGGCCGCCTGTTTCACGCGAGGGCAAGTCTTTTCCACCTTGTTGTGGACCATGCCCTCGGTACAATCTTGGAACAAAACAAGTAACGTGTGGGACCGTCCAAAGTGTGCAACGTAAAGGTGGTAGCAGTCCGCCATTGCGACGGTTGCCAGGTGATCTCGCTGCAGGAAGATCCTCCCACGCGAGCGCGTGACTTGTTGCAGCTGACTCTGCAGAGTGTCGAGGATCTCTCTGCAGGCTCGGTCCAAGCAAAAAAAGCTCTGAGCTCTGAGGGTTGCGCAAGCCTAAGCGCGGTGTTTGAGTTATTTGCGGGTTCTTGCCCAGAAGCGAAAGGAACAGCTCCACTCAATGTAGGAGTGTCACCTGTAAAGGTGCTGAAAGGCTTTTCTTCTCGCCGTTGAAATCTCTACGTTTGATCAAGTCATGAATTGATTGACCACCGACAATAATTAGCGTCATGCAAGCATAGGCCCCAGATAGCAAGCGAACTCAACAAAGAAGCAACCCATTTTCGAGATTCAAGAGCAATGAAGCTGCGTTTAGATCAGACAGTTTGTTTAGGATTCCGGGCGTTGGCGATCAGAAGCAATCTTCAATTTGCTCAACCCACCATTTGGCTTCCAAAAGCACATATAGCCGAGCAATGCCGTGCAGCGTTCTGTATACTCACAAGATATGTGTGAGTCATGTGTGCACATGCGTATTCGCTGCGCAGCAAGAGCACGTCCTTGGCTGTTCACGGGCAAAGGACATCCGCCTAAAAATAACATTCTGCGAGCAATACGCACAGAACTCACAGTTATATCCCACGGCTGGCAGGGGCCCTCAAGAAAACAACCTCCAAAAAAAGAAGCCCTATTAGCCATATTGGTCTCTAGTGGGACCTGGAGAATGTCCACAAATATGTGTGTGTGCGTATGTCTGTGTGTGTGTGCCTTTGTTCTTCTATCTCTGTTTGTTGTGTCTCGTTGTCTCTCTCTCTGTCTCTCCCTCTTGTCTGTCTCTCTGTCTGCTTGTCTGTCTCTCTTGTCTGTCTCTCTTGTCTGTCTCTGTGTCTATCTCCCCATCTTTCTATCTGTCTCCACCTGTCTCTCTGTCTATCTCTGTGTCCGTCTCTATTTCTTGTCATTACGAGCCCCATGCCGATAGATTGGTTCACTGACCCTCCCTGCAACCCCCCCCCCTTCAAAAAGTATTCGTACGTTAGATTGATCCATTGCCCTTTCCCCCCCTCTCAACAATATTTGTACGCTAGATTCATTCATGCGATAGCTACATAAAAGGACTTATTGCAGGCCGAACACACAAATCAGAGCCACCAGGGACTTTCCATTCTCTTACACTCCATATTGACATATTTGGATTTCCTGCGGAATAGATCCAGGGACCACATATACGATCCTCTACTACCACAAGATATCCGTTCCCTTCTGGGATAAGATACCCCCGGCAGAGGGACTCAACTTGTGGTAGCGGAGCGGTTTCGGCAAAGATCCAGGAGCAATGTCATCCGATAAGGCTTCGTGAGGCCTATTCAAGCACAGCCCGATCATCCGGCTATACTGAAGAGACACTCATTTTATCGATGACCGCCAAGCAGCCGCCATCGCACGACGGAAAGGTCAGCTGCTTCAAGTATGAAGAAGTAGATGATTGGATAACTTTCACAACGATCGAAGCATCCAAGCAAAAACCTCCTCAAGAGCAGACTCACTGGAGATGCTTACATGTACTTGGCAGTCCTCCAGAACGACCGTTTGCAAGAACACGCTGAAGCAGTACTTCCTGAAGGGTACCACGAACGTGTATCTTTACAATCTCCTCAGTTTCTTCAATCACAGGAGGCAGAACTCCGAGTTCCTCTTATTCACATCAAAGTTCGAAATCCTAGCCTGGATGGACCTGACGCCCGTACACACGGCACAGTCTCCAGAACTTTGACCGTCAATACATGACGCAAACCAGAGAAACCTGGCTCGACATCAGCAAGCCGCCGGTGCCACAGCCCCGGCTCCTGCTGCACTCCAAGAGGACGACCCAGTATTCTCAGACAATTCATCCAGGGAACGCAGGAAAGACAACGGGACGCATTTCCTTTTGGGGATAATCTCACAGCGCAGTTTTTCGTCATCCAGAGCGAGCTGTCAGACCAGCAGAGAGAAAGGCTGACAAGTGCAATGTCTCTGAGGAGTATCACACTTGAGAATTACACCTATGAGATGCTGAAGACGCAATACCACGACCTCTTCATCACGACCAGAACTTCAATCCAAGATCCACCCATCCGACCTCAAAGAGGCAACCGAAGCAATACATTCTTCATCATCAAGCAAGGTGAATATGAAGGAGACGGACAAGAAGGATTCATGTCGAACAATGATGAAGAGACGTTTAGGGTCCTCAAGGAGAAAAGTGCGTTCATTGCAAGAAAGGTGTCTGGGCGGAACTTCAGATTCAAGAGGAAGAAAGGAAAAGGAAAATCAGGAAACAAAAAGGGCAGTCACCGACGAGGTGGCTTCAAACCCTTCAAGAAAACCGTTTCTGGCGGGAAGGCCCATATGGCCAATGAAGACTGTGACCCCTACGACCATCCTTTTTGGGGAGAAGGCAAAGCCAAGAAGGGAAAGAAAGGAAAGTCGAAATTCCAGTATCCCTTTGATGGAAATCAAGGCTATCCATCCTATGACAATGGCAAAGGAAAAGGCGGACATGACAAAGGAAAACCCAGAACGTTCGCAGCCATCGCAGAGAAGTCGGAGAGCAGCCTGCCACACCGCAAGTTGCTGAACTCCCAGAGCCTACCTATGCCGGTTGGACCGAACAAGGCTGGTAGTAATTCATGAGACATCCAGCCATTGAGCGCCGGACAAGCATTAATGGCATTCCATGATGCGTACGAGCAGCATGAGAAAAGGGCCATCCACGAGAAGCTGACACAGTTTCAAAACACAATTTGTCCGTTACAACCAATCACCGCCTTTGGCAACAAAGCTGACGCGCCTGTCATCAACCCTCGACACAACCCGACCTACGCAATCCTACAACGGCTGTACCAGATCCATGGGCAGCTGGCATGCAATCCAGCGTTTTCCTCAGGCCATCGAACCCAATGAAGGACCTCATCTCCTACCTGTACATCCCGGCCGAGACCAAGTTCACTTTTACCAAAGGAGAGACAGCTAAGGTAAATTGGACCTTGCGTTTCAGATATCGCACGACACCTCCATGCAATACCAACATCGACATCCTTGAACAAGGCACCGTACCGATCCTCCTGAGCATCAGCCAGATGCGAAACCTCCACATGACCATTGAGCGCACACCTCAATGTGACAAGATCGCACGCAAGGCCTTTGGCATGGACCGTCAAGCAGTTCCAGTATCCGGCGCTGCGCTAGTTGATCTTGCTAAAGTGGCAAGAGTGAAATCACATCGAGAATTTGCTGTCAAAGGACTTACCAACTACGTCTGCGATGATGACAAGAGCATCAAGTTTCCCTCCTGTGAGACTGTCTGTGCATCCAAGTCATCCGAGACGAAGGATGAAACACCAACTCCTAAAATCATCGGGTCTCTGAAGCAGGATCATTGGATAGAAGAGCAAGCAGCTCACCCGTGTGCGCATTACGCCTCGGAAGGCACTGTTCACACCCAATGGAGCAAAAAAACGTCCAACCAATCCTGATAACATCAGCCGAGAGCGTACAACGAAAATTATTGATGCATCCGAAGGCGGACAGCCAGACATCCTAGAAGACAGTTGGCGACTTACATCCCAGGCGAACAAACCAATGGTTAACCTGTGGAAAGGTAAGCCCATCTTCACCTTCTGGGACAGCCAGCTCAAGGACGAGGAAGCAGGTTCAGGATTGGCAGCAGATAGGATCATTGACAAGAAGGGCCAGTCGACTTTTGCGCCAGATCCAAAAGCACCATCCACTGAAGAACCCACATTACTTCCACTTGCCTTTGGCAGAATCCACCAGCGGTTGCCCAAGCCGGAAGAGTTGAAGAAACTCCACCTTCAGCATCATCACATGACAACCGACCAAAGTCAGCGTGCGCTTCATGTGTCAAAGCCAACCTACGACCTATTTGACAGAATCCGAAGTGAACGTGAAGTGTGCCAAGCGGCAAAACAAGCACCGACACGAAGCAAGACGAGTGGACTTCGAGCGGACACATTCGGTGACATGACATTCACTTGATCACTGTCAAGTTCCGCTTGGAACTGGCGAACACATCATTGTTTTTGTCATCCTGGATGGAGCAACAACATTGCTCACTGCAGAGGTAGTGATGTCCAAGAACATCATACTTTGACCAGTACCACTTGCAGCCAAACCGCCAAATCAGTTGTAGCAGACCAAGCCTTCATGACGGAGACGTGGGAACACTTCTATCAATCCCTTGACATCAGACCGATCTCATTGGGACCGAACACACCATGGCCAAATCGAGCTGAATCAGCAGTTCGACTCCTGAAGGCCCAACTCAAGATCATGCTCAAGGCAGGCACAGCACCTGCAACACTGAAGAAAGTGACATATAGACAGCTTGTCCCAAATCTAGCAGCTGTCCAAGCAGGCATTCCAAGAAGCTTGTCAATCCAAAGACATTCGACGAGACCTTGCTCAGAATGTCCGAATGAGTTCTAAACCTCTTCAGGTTTCTGACAAGGTATTTTACTGGCAGGAAGAAGCAAGGGAGGAATTTGGCTAAAAGGGAAGGTCATGTCCTTAAAAGGAGCAATGGTCCGACTTGATCTCGGAACCCGACTCATCGAGGTCAACGTGACAAAGGTCAGAAAGGATGAAAAAACTACCCCTCCGAGGAAACAAGGAATTGGTTTTCTTCTTCTATATGAGAAAGAATCATTGCAGAAGGAACAAAGCAGCTCTTCAGCCGACTCCAGGAGGGAATCATCCACACCAACTCCTAAGCCAGCATCCTCTAAGCCATTGCGCATTGCCGGGAAGACGGCTCCCAAGCCTGCAGCACATAGGCCAGCAGAGAACATGTTCGTGGAGGACCTCACATCCATTCCTGAACAAGCGCATTGGAACTGTGTACGCAAAGGAAAGATCCACGTTCTTGAGATCTTTGCAGGTAGTGCCAGATTCAGTCAATGCTGCGCGCTTTGGGACGTTGACATCCGCAACGGATTTGACGTAATGACATCCAAGGCACGACACATGGTCATGGAGATCATCAAGGAGCAAGCGCCTGACCTCATC